TTGAAACGTTCAAACAACCTATCGACCCAGTGGTTCGGATTGGCCCGTTACAGCAGTATAAGGCTATACAAGCTGTGACCTAAAGTGGATCCTAATTGTATTGGTGAAACGCAAAGGTGACCAACAGGCAAACTTTAAAATCACGTTAGAAAAACGGCTCAAGAACACAACGGGATCACGTGCTCAAGTTTAAAGAACGTCTCCGCAGTATTTTCCAGGGCAATTAAGTTAAGGTTCAAGAATAAAATCAGCTAGTCTTCGTTCACGTCTTCATTTGCCACAAACATTGTGGTGGTAAAAGGAAAAATATTATAAGGGAAAACGACAAATACGATGCAAATACTGAACTTTAACAGTCACCACCCAACCAGCAACAAACTCATGTTTGAAACGACACTTTATCGGCGTGTTGAGGTGCGTTACAGTGAAGCGAAAGAAAAAGTTGTCGAACTGCAATATCTTCGAATGCTATCCAGAGGAAATGGCTTTCCACACAACATCGCCAACCATACCAAACGAGATAAACGACAAAATCGCATCGACTCCAAATGTTGGTGAGCGACAGAAATATATGACAGACATGTATCGAAGGCCGTCAGCCACCTTCTTGCAGTACTTGTCCTTTGAGTCGCACGTGGGTCGGAGGCAACCATAAGGCTTCAAATATTGAAATTAAAAGGGCTACTGCCACGGTATAAAACATTTGAAGTAGTTTATAAGATCTGGTACATTCGCTGACAAGCCAACTACGTCGGAGAAACTGGAAAACTGCTCATGACGCGAATTTCCGAACACGCAGCAGCAATGGGGAGAAATGATGCCAATTCTCACGTTGCGGCTCTTTTGACGAAACCCGGCCACATGTTCAAATTTGATCAGACAGAAATTCTTGACAGATGTGATAATCGTGTGAGCCGCCGACTGCTCGAGTCGTAGTTCACGGGCTCCAGTGTATACTTAAGTGCTATGATCTGTCCACCTTTATTCGGTACTGAGGCTCAGTTTGGCCAATACAATTCGCCACGCGGGGAGCGTACCGGCGTATGCGTCTTCTAACGCCAGCATCCGGGAGCCAGTTGGCCGAGTAATCATCACGTTCTACTCCAGCACGAGGGATGAAAATTCAGCCGGTCAGGACCCGCACGCCGGCCATCCAGCAATTGGTGGACAAGCGGGTAACTGTCCCCGATACGGGAA